TATATTGTGTATTTAGTTAAAAATCAACACTTTTTAAATAGAGTACAAGCTTTTAATCGGATGAAACTAGAACCATTTCAGACATTTCGGTCCCCTGTTGTAATCCTTCAGATGAGGAAGACGTTCTCGTATTGTAGCGGCTTCCTAATGATCACGGTTCGACCCAAACCGGGTCATAAACATGTCAGGAGAGGGAACAATTGCTTCTGGCAGACAGTAGCGGGCATCCCTTTACCTCTTGTCCACGTGCGGGTTGCAAACCGCGAATCCCAAAGGGCTGTTTGCTCTGCGAACCGAGAAGGCCCTTTGGCCCCGACACATCAGTGGCGACGGCGGTGCAACGTTAATATTGTATGCCGCGCCATAAAAGCGAAGGTAGAAAGGATAATTTTGGAAACAATGCGCTCCGAGCCCGTCGCGTTTGCTCTCGAGACTTATACAGATATGAGCTATGCACGTCAGCGTCAAGTTGAATATAAAACGAAATATGTTGTTAGGTCGTTAACCAGTTTGAAGAGAAACTAAGTAAGTAAAAGGGAATATTAACACTTTGTTGTGGGTAATATTATTTTAATTGAATATCTACTTCAAATTGTAATTACTTAATGATTTTAATAAATTACAAAATTATATTTTAATATAGTAAATCCATTAAAGTTACACAAGATTTTAATAGAAATAACATCCTCTGATGTTCATGATGAATATAAAATTAAGGTCAATAAGAAAAATTACGATTTACTCTAAAAAGTATATTTGCACTAAAATTCTGGGGCTTTCAATAGAACCTAACGATATTTGCACTGATATAGAAAGAGCTCCCCATTTGAACTTAGGCGACGATTTCAAGCACTGCGAAACGAAGTTGGCAAATGGAGTCGGAATCTTTACCTCAGAAATCCAACCTTTTAAATTTTTCTGGGATACTTCCTTTGAATTCCCGAAAAGTTACCGAAAAGATACAGAGACTTGTACAATTTCGACCACGAAGACACGTAGTGACGCAGTTCTTTGGATAATGGTTAAGTAGCGTGCAGAGTCAGCCGTTTCTTCGGGCCGTCGGCTCGCTTCCGAGTTTTTAAAAGAAGGAGGCTAGGTTAGTAATTTGTCGCCGGATAGAGGGAATTACGCCCTATAGTTTCGAGTTAGGAACTTCTAATAAAATTTCTTTCCTCTTTAATTGACAACCTGTTTCTGAAAATTGTCTCCTACCGTCTCGGGTGTTTCCGAGTTGAATAGTTCCTTTCTACGTCTCGTTGTCGTGCTGGACCTGCAACTTTCTTTGAAAGTTACGGTCAAATTATCCCTCATCACATTTTATTCCAACAATTAAAAGTAATTGATCTTAATGAGAAACAGTTGACGACTTCCGGTTCAATTATATATCAATCTACAAATCAATTTTCGTTAAATTAAAATTTACTTACTACTAACTCAATTTAATTACCGTATTATATTTGTTAAAGACAGGGATAAGATGAAGTTGTGCATTACTACATGATTCCAACATTCGCCTTAACATCTATAGGAACGAAGTATTCGAATAACTTAATTGGGAAATCAATTAGGATAAAATCGAACACATCTTATTATTCAGTAGAGTTCCCCTCATTAATCGCCTACAGAACTGCTGAAATTTCAATTATCAGCCTGCTCGACGATGCAAATATTTCTGCCACTTCATCATTTTAATTAAATTTTCAGGAAAACGTTTGACAATTTTAGAAATTTTCTAATTACTTGTTTTAATTAAGCATATTAATTGGATACGTTTTTAAATATTTATTTATATATGAGGTTTAATGAGACAAATTTGATTAATAATTATTAATTAATTGTAGTGCATAGTTAATTCGATTGGAATAATTAGTAACAAATCAAGTGTTTTGTATGTTTTGTGTTTGCAAGCAAGTGACAAGAGACATACACCGTACAGTAATTGGATAGTTGAAATGTTGGTAATATTGTCCTATTAATTAGAATCGGGAATATTTATACCGAATATTGTATCTATAATTGATAATACCCTCGGGTTTTCCATATAAACCGGAACGTTGGAACGGATATGTTGTCCGCGACCAACATTGTTTGCATATAAATAACGGTTACAAGCAATTATTCGGGTAGCAAGATCATAAATATGTAATCGAATTATGTTACATCCACATGTTTTATTAGCATTTACTGTATATTAAGAGTTGGGTTCGTATAAAGTAAAACATGAACTAAGTTTGAAAAGGACATAGGTCAATAAAGCAAATGAGATCTTGTCCCTCTTACCCTTTCTGGCCGGTGTTAACGTGTTTTCGTTTCGTCGTCACTCAAGAGGGTGTCCTTTGAGAACCTATCGGCAATTCAAATAGAAAATTACCTATCTCGTGGATTGAATGAAAGGATTATTCAGGCAATGTCAACGCCGTTCTTTGTGAACGGACCATGTGCACACTGAAAAATTGGTTCCAATCGCCTTACGGACGTGACAGCGGAATTCCAAAGACCTTTTACATGCATAAGTGATCCCCGGGAAATTACACTCTTCGGTTATCCGTTTTTATTCAATTATAAATTAGAATTAATTTTATTGATAAAAAGAGACGTTAAAAATTTATTTTAACCTTTCAATACACGCGCTTACTCAGTCGCTGTGAGTTCGCTTTTGATAATGGAAACGATTAACGGGTAAAAGATGGCGATTCGAATGTTCATAAGCTCAGATATTTGCGGAACAAGTACAACTGGAACTAAATTCTTCATAAAATAATGCACGCTAAATAATTGAAACTAAAGCTAACACTAGACCTAGAAAGTTTCGGGTTAACCATGCATCTTCAGACCTTTTCTTGCAATATTTATTAGAATTATAGTTATTATTGTGGTAATAATCCGCGTGTGAGTATTGAAACATTAATATATTAATATGATATATCAAAGCTTTTCTAACGCATACGGAAACAGGGCCGTAAAAATAAATGAAAACGTCTTTTATGTAAATCCTTTATCCCGGTCTTGGTGCACGAGCAGGACACAGGTGCTCTTGTACTGTAACTGAACCGTGAGAGGTCATCACAAGGGATTACCGGTAAACTCAAACATGGAAGGAACGCCTTTTGGAGAAATTCGACAGCGCCGGGACCTTATAAATGTTTAATGTGATTTTTAACGGGTCTCAGTAGCAGCAGTTTCCGCAGATGTCTATATATATCAGGATAAAACATGGCGTGGAAAGTTCAAGTTTTCATTTCATAAAAATATAAATATTTCGATGTGATTGTTACTAAAGCATAAACAAGTATTGTTATTAAATTAAATTGTAACGCTGGCATTGTTACAAAGGTTACTATTTGAGCTTTTAAAGGGTTCAAAATAACGATTCAGAAAGCGTGACCGTTACATGACTCTACAGTTAACTTTACACTCAACCGTTGCAGTGTATATGTTATAAAGGTTGCTATTAAAACTTTTAAATCGTTGCATACACGTTTATTACATTTACGTTATATATAGATATAATTGTTTTTTTTTTGATATATTTTTTTCAAACTGTAAATTCATGGTGGTCACAAAAAGAAGACAATTATTCACCATGTTGGATTGTTTCGGTTGGAAGGTTTTGTCTACAAAAGTAATTAGATTCGAAGCAACACACAATAAATTCAAATCAAATGGACGCGACCTCAGTACCCGAAATACCAGTAGCTTAACGGCAAAATTGAAACGTCCGCCTTAATTAAGAGGAACTGATAAGGACTGGGTGCACCCGGTCGCGTCCGGAAAGCTATTGGTAAAGCTCCGCGTTGCCGAGGGCGAGACAAAGCTGACTGTCGCAGATAGTGTCTGTCAATCAAGTGAGACTTCAAGAGGTGGAGTCTCTCGTCCCTAAGGACATGTCTCCGGCTCCGTGCTTATCTTGGCTGCGTACAGATTACTCCTCCTGGTCGGGTACAACCGTAAATTAGTAGAAAATGGAGATGGAAGAGAAGAGAGAAGCGGTACGAGGAAGAGGTGTTGCAATAGCCGATTTGCCTATATAACAGTGATCCAACAGACAATCAAACGGAATCAATTTCCATTACCCTCCCTTAAACGAACATCTACATCAAATTAAACAACTTTACAAAGTTCTTAATTATTAAATATACCTAAAAAAGTTAAGATAAAATATCTCCTTACAGTAATCCAAACTTAATCGGTTTAATTCGAAAACAATTAGAAAATTTTTAAGAGAGTTTCTCCTCCAAATACAGCTGCTATCGGAGTTTCAACGATGGGAAAACCGAAATAGGATTATAAAAGTTTAAGTAACTGTTCCGCAACTCCATTAATGCAGTGGTCACTGGATAATCCCTTAAGTAGCTGCCAATTGGAAACCGGGAAACTTATCAGAGAGCAAACGTTGATCCGGGCTGATACGAATGTGGCTTCAGTACGCTAAAATACACCAGAAGCTTGCTTCCATCAGCTCCTTTAATCCTAAGGAGCATAAAGTTTGTATAAACGGACTTCGGAAAAGCCGAAATAAGGAAAACCGGGATATGATGGATTTGTTATTCATAGCGCAAGTTAATTACCTCAAACTTTAACTTTGTGTTTACCTCGGCGAACGAAAAAGAAAAAGGCTTTTTGGGCTACGAAAAGTTTGACGGCCATTAAAAATCCCCAAACGTGTTTCTTAACGATACATAATCCGATATGGTTCCGAGTTAAAATAATGCATAAAAGTTTGAAACAAGTTTTTAGAGCGAACAGAAAAGCAGTAACCTATGGGCCTTCGGGAACTTCCAACTTAATGTAAATTACACCAACTTCATACTTCTACAATCTAGATTTTAAACTTGCCCATATCATAACCGGGGCAGAGAGAAGATTTATTCGCACTTGAAAACTTAACCCTGGAATTTATCCCGAACTTCTTTATTTTTTCTGAATATGTTCACCAAACTTTCAAAATTTAAACTGATTCCATAAACCTAGAGGGTTAAAACGTTTAGAATTTGATATATTTTTCAAAACTTCTATTTTCATCATGCCACATTACATTTTATAATCAATACTATATAATTATTTGAAGGAATCCCTCAGGATGTGTCTTTGAATTTTGCCACTAGCTGTAAGTGGTAACTCATCCCAAAAATAAATTCCTCCATGTAAATGTTTCGTTTTTGAAATTCGTTCTTAAAATAAATAATTTCACTGATTAAAAATCGAATTAAAATGAAATTAATACAAACCAGCTACGAATTGAATCAATTCCTCTTCAGTTACATTTGAATTTGGTTGTTTAACCACGAAACCAGTTGGTAACTCCCCAGCAAATTCATCTGGTTTACCAACAACACAAGCTGCTTTAACATTTGGATGAGATATTAAAATTCCTTCTACTTCAGCTGGTGGAACTTGAAACCCTTTGTATTTAATCAAATCTTTGAGTCTATCGACGATAAAAACGAAACCTTCTTCATCGTAATAACCAACATCTCCGGTGTGTAACCAACCGTCGATAAAAGTGGTTTTTGTTGCTTTTGGGTTACGATAATAACCTTTAGTTACCATTCTACCTTTTAAATTAATTTCTCCTCGTTGATTAGGACCTAAGCGATTACCAAATTCATCGCAAATACAAAGCGACATTCCAGGAACGATTTTCCCCGATGATCCAACTTTTGTCTCTCCCGTTGGCATTACAGTAATCCCAAACGTTGATTCAGTTAAACCATAAATTTGACGAAAACTTTGTAAATTCGGAAATAATTTGATGAATTCTTTTTCGACGCTTTCACTTAGTGGTGTACTCCCACAAAGAATTTCCTCGACCGTTGAGACATTATAATCTTTAAGAATACAACTTTTAACTAACCTGTAAATTATCGTTGGAACGATGGGTAAATTTGTTATTTTATATTTTTCGATGGATTTTAGGTAGGTTTCTTCGTCAAATCTTTGCATTATAACCAGTTTATTGCCATTGATAATTCCACAAATACTAACTAATATACCAAAAACGTGAAAATTTGGTACTACTAATAAAACAACTTCTTTTTTTGCTAAAGAAAATCTTGGGTCACCTAAAATAAATGTATTTAAATGATTTAAATTAGAAAAATCACTCTAATTGATTTAGTCTTGAACAAAAACTAGAAGTAACACTAAATCTAGTACTAGAAATAACCTTCATACTTATGTGATTCACTCTTATTGCTGTGTTATCATGAGTTATCATAACAGCTTTTGATAAACCAGTGGTACCAGAAGAAGATGCAATAAACGCAAGTTGCTCAATAGTATTTACATCAACAGGTTTAAAATTTTTGATGAGAAAATTAGGTTCGCAATATTTTTTAATAAACATATTTAGGTTATCATAACCTGGAATTTCTTCTTCATCTAAAATTACGATTTTTATTGAATCGGATGATTCAAAGAATTGGAGTAATTTTGAAGACATAAAAATGATTTTTGGTTGGTATATATTCAAAAGGTGTAAAAATTCATCTAAAATGATTTAATTTTTTATATTATAAAGTATTAAAAAAACATTTAATTATTTATTACTTTTAGTGTAATTTTGGTTAATAAATCCTGTAATCATCCCAAGAAATAAACCAGCAACTGTGGGAACATTATAATAAATACTATTTTCAGCGGAAATAGCTAAAACGTCGTTTTGTTTAAACCCACAATTTCGAAGACTTTCCGCTAATTTACAGCATAAAATTAAAAATTCTTTGTTTGTAAGTTTAGTATCTTTTGAAACATCAACCTAAAATTCGAGTATAAATCAATAACAAAAATTTTTACCTCTAATTTAATTTACGTATAAAACATCGTCTTCTTTTTCTTTTAATTTTTCAAATAATCTTATTCCAATTGAAACCAATGGAATCGGTGTTATAAAATCCGGCCCATTTAATATACGATCCATGTTTGAATAAAAATTCGAACGCAACAAACCGCTTTTAACTTAACAATAAATCAACGACTATTGTTTTTAACTGACAAAAGGATATATGTATATATATATATAATGCTGTAAATTGCTATTTTATTTTAAACAATTTGGCTTTAACATTATTTTTAAGTAGTAAACAAAGACGCAATTCCTTTAATGGTAATTAAAGTAATTATATATAATTTTTTAAAAAATTGATTGTTTAATTGTTTAATTACAGTTTATTCGAAATTTCTACAGCAAATATTTTTTTGATATTCAGGGAATCGTCCACAAACAGTTTGTGCCTCAAGGTCAAACAGTTAATCAACACTTACCGAGAGATTATTGAAAAACTTCGAAAAAGGATCATTCGTGTGGCACCAAACATCAAGAACAGCTGGGTGTTGCATCACGAAGCAATTTCAATAAACGAGTTTTTGGCCAGTAACAACATTCCTGTGGCTCCTCAACCTCCTTATTTGCCTGATTTGAGTTCTTGTGACTTTTTCCTCTTCCAGAGATTGAAAAATCACTTCAAGAGAACTCATTTTGGGACACTCGAAAACATTCAAACGGTTGTTAACCGAACAACTGAAGGCTATTCCAGTACTGGAGTTTCAGCATTGCTATGAAAATTGTAAGAACCATCTCCAGAGCTGTGGGGCTTCAGAAGGAAGTTATGTTGAGAGAGACAATATTGAATTGTAATTCTATTCAAATAAAATTAATTTACATGCCTCGTAAGACTTAAACGAATGCCACATTATTTTTTTTTCAGTTTTATGGGTTTAATATTAAGGTTTCAATATCGATTATTGAAAGAGAAAATTTAGATGCTTTTTTGGTACAGGTTTAAGATAATAAGAATTTATTGGTGTTACAGAACATGAAAGTTCCATTAAGGAATGAAATGTCTTACCATAGTTTGAGTACCTACGTGAGAACATGCGAATGTGCATGCCATCTAGTTCTTCCTCCTCCTTACCCCAAAAAGTACAATTAAGCTGACACGAACGGATAAAGATTAAGTTGTCAATAAAAACGATCCATCAAATGAATATTTTATTTCTTTGATACGTTTATTTGCTTTGTTCGGTGAGTGTCGGATAAAGATAGAGACAAAAGGGACTTCTCTTCATTAACCACTTTTATCTTTTTTCAAGTAAATGGTTGATAGTAATGAACCGTCCATAAAAAACGTTCCGGGTCATCGAATTTTTTGATCGTCGGCTGTAACTCTCCATGTCGTGTCAGTGCTCTCGAGCGCCCATGGATGGCCTGAAGGATTGTTTGACAATATTTCACGCAAAAGACGTAGGAGCTGGTGCGCACTGACCCATTCTTGTGAAAGCCTCCGGCTGAAATCATTTCATTAGTTTACTGGCCCTTTTCCGACCCCGAATCGCAAGCCCAAATATCCTGACGACATGTCACACCTGCGCTCCGGGCATAGAGGGTTGTTATTCTCACCCTTATTCCCCGAGGCATTGACTCATTCCGTATATTGCTGTTTCTAAACAAAGAGATTTCAAAAACATTTTTATTATGGAAACATCAAATTAAATCTGTTTGTTAGTTTTTTTTAATGTTACCTATTTCATTTATTCTGATTGAAACGATAAAGCCATCAGAAAACTGAGCATTCAAGTAAAGGTAAAATTTTCCTTTGGAAAATTGGATCGACCATTACAAACAGTGCTTCCGCAGGTACCCTCCCCGAGCCGTACGACTACAGAACTTTTGATTCGAACTCAATTATCGAAAGTACCCAGTCGAGTGGACGTTCGATAGCAACGGCATGGACGGTTCGCATAGCTCTACCCTGTCAGTAGTGTGGGAAGGGGAATTTCATTACAATATATGTCAGATGCAGTCAGAGAGCGTCATAACTCAATTAAGGGGGCAACAGGACAAAAATGGCACGCGGTGTTCGATGGTAATTGACCGGTAGCGAACAGAACGCGGTTTCCTGCCTTCTCCGCTGTCGCCCCTTTTAAATGAATTAGAATCTCTGAAAGTAATGCGCCCTTGTTAGTCGTCAAGTCTGATGAACTGGGCGAAAATGGACACACTGGACAGGTTCATTAACTAATTGGTTCATGGGCCTATACATCCAGTACTAACCTTCATTAGGAAAACGATTTATAAAGTTTTTGTACTAAATAAACTTTTCATTTCCTAAATCTCCTCTTAAATTTAATAAAGACAAACATGAATAATAGTTACCCTCACCGTAACGAGCTTTCTGTATTAAATATTGTACTTCCGCTGCGACAATACGACGCAACCAAAATGGTGGGGTTTTTAAGGACATTAATTCAGTTCACGGAAACACAGGCACATTCTAGACATTCCCATGCCATTAGGGTTCTTCCGGGGTGCTCGAGCAATTTGTTGGGGTTTTATATTTCATTTAATCCGTAAAACAGAGTTCGCGAAAACTTCCGGTAACCAGTCTTCCAAGCCAAGGAGGAAACAGAACAAACAAATATATTCTGCTTTCGTAAAGTTATGTATTTTGTTATATTTTAGTAAATATTCATTTATTTGAATCTTATCAGATATATGGTAATAAAAAAGAATATTTTGGGCGTTTATTCACCTATTTTACGCTCGAGTAAAAACGGTTCGCTTTATTATCCTACATCCTTTTACGTTTCGGATCCCAATTATGGAAAAACCGGCCCCAAGATAAAAAGCTCTTGCGTTAAATTGGCTTCCTCTATGCCGGGACATTTTACTAATTTCGCCATAAAAAGAACATATCATGACGTAACGGTTATGTACTTTACTCCCTCAAGCACTGTAAAAGCGCAAAAATAGGCAGAAGAAAAACAACCCGACAAAAAACGTTTATGACTTTACTAACTTTGAGTCGTACCATTCGTTTTGGACAATTTCAACGCGGCATGCTGATAAAAGATGTTTGATAAACGTCATTCGTTTAATTAAGTTTTTATAGCCTGTTTCTGCAAACTACAGTTTCCTATCTCCCGTTAATTTCCTTTCCTAGTTCGTTATTTGTCACTAGATTCCCCGCTACGAAAAATTTACCCTCTTGATCACTCACTTATTACCACTCTCACCGCCCCTAAAGTTTTAGCCACACATCTTATTGAGCTGATTGATGCGAAAATACTTTAGTGCCCTTCAATCCACGCTCCTTCGTCAGAACAAAGTGACAGTGTCCGAATGCGTAGGACCGTCTGAGTCATCTGCTTTATTGGAAGCTGAAAGGGTCTCAACACCCTATACACAGAACACTTGACGAAGGTCTAATTAATAAGCCGATATTAATTATGTGATCATCAATTATATTACCACCGAATAGTTCTATAATGGGAAGCATTCAACAGTAGTAGCGGGTTTCAGACCAATACGTGCTGTTTCTATACATCACGATGATGGATTGATTAATTTCTAACACTAAAACAAGGAGATATTTCATAAGCAATAAATAAATCAAAATAATTATTTTGAACTAAAATAAGAATTAACACTTGAACTATAATTAGAACTAACACTTAGAGTTAACACTTCAGAGTTAGCATAAGATATCACTATGTTGCATATTTTTATTGAACTAAAACTAGAACTAACACAAGACCTAGATCTAGAATCATTCGGTTTAGTCGTCTTGAGAGACGTGCGGCTAAATCCGAATGTTTCTTGACCTAGGTCTAGTGTTAGTTCTAGTTTAATTGTTATTCAGCGTTAGATTGTGGTATATTTTTATTGAACGAAAAGTAGAACTAACACTAGACTTAGAACTAGAAACATTCGGGTTTAGTCGCACGTCTCTTAAGATGGCTGAAAACTCAGGGTTGTCATAAGGACGTCACCTTTTTCCAAGCAAAACTTCTCCTTTGTAAAACTACCCAATGCTTGTTATGGTTACTGCATTCATATATTGCGAGTTATATGAAATTCCCAGTATATGTAATAATATTATTTATTTTATATAAAAATAGTATTTAAAAAATTGTACCAACACAAAAATAAATAATGGGGTGAAATTGTTGGGTGAAGCAACCAAAGTTCATTTAGTTCACATAGAAAAGTTTAGTTAAGTGCCTTTTTCCATAAATTGAACTTTGATCCCTTTGAATATCTTCTATGGCAAACTTCAACGAAGAAAACTTAAAATAAAACGCGAAAAAGTCCGTTTCAGTTCGTAGTCGGAGAGTTCACTTTAATTATTCTCATCGTCGGTTCAGCCCTGCAATTATCTCTTTTCAATCGGGCTGTGAACTTTTGTCACTTTTTCTAACGCTTACAGAAGTCTCCTCCAGCTTCGAGTCCTTTGTTAGCCAAATTGCCAAAAGCCTCGCAATCGATTTTAATACCGCCCGGGCCGAAGTTTATTGGACCCGTCCATTTTCGGTGTATATTCATAGATATAAAGGGGAGCAATACTAAAATATCGAAACCAAACAAAAACGAAAGACCCGATTTGAATCATGAAAAGGCCTGATGTTTGCCCTTCATCAAAAACAAACAAAGCGGCTGTAGGTCCATTAGGAGACCGAAAAGACGCCGCCCTTGAATGAAATTAGTAATATTAATTAACTATGTTATTATGGTTTTGTAAGAATGACTGGACTAATTCCTGCTGGAGGCTTAATCCTAATGAAGCCTACGTCTCTTTTAATTAGCCTTCAGATGCTACAACCCCTCCCTGTGGGAAGTACTCTCACCCTTTATTACCTACCGTTAGCGCAGCGTTCAATTTCAGGCATTAAATAATTACAAAGCGTTCAACAATGTGTGCGGGTAAACAAAGGTTTTGTAATAACTCGTCCCAGGTTAATCTCTAGGGTGCTTTGCTCGAGAATTTTAACCGCTTCGCTGGTCTTAATTGCGGTTTTTTTTTGTGAAGTGTCGGCATTAAATATTTACTTAGGATTTTGAAATATAACCGAATTATGAACACAATTAAACCAGGTGTACAATGGGTTACTCTATTTCCATTATACAAATTACAAAGTTATTACACTATAACTTAACAAGTATTATATTTAAC